ATGCAGATTCGCCATCCCTTGACTGTTCTTGTTGAGTTAAACTCATTGTTCTCATTTTGCACTACAGTCATTCCACCCTTCTTTGGCACATACTGAAGAGGGCTAACCCAGTTGCTATCAGAGATGGGGAAGATGATTCCTTTATCTAACCACTTGATCACTTCTTTCTTCACCACTTCATGTTGGGGTTCAACCTTCTTTGATATACTCTAGAAGGTTTGTGCCCATCTTCCAGTAGAATCTTATGCATACAAAATGTTAGGTTGATTCCCTTTATGTGTACAATGGTCCACACAATTGCAGTCTTGCACTCCTTCAGAACTTGCAAAGTTGTTCTACCTGTACATTTAACAAATCAGATGAGATAATAATAGGTAATATCGAGCTAGGTCCCAAGAAAACATACCTGAGGTGAGACGGTAACGACTTTAGCTCCAACTGTGGTGGCTCTTCAATTTATGGCTTAGCTAGAGGGGTCTTTCTTTCTTCTAAGTGTAAAGGCTCGAATTCGAGCTCTTTTTTCCAGTATCCTTCGCCCTCAAGGGCCAAAAACCACTCCGCTAAGTCCTCACCATCTACCTCTTCTCAGTTCATCAGGCAGGCTGATAGGGGGTCTTTTACATTCAGTGCCTCATCTTCCTCCTTCAGAATCACATCCACATCTTCGATCAGATAGCAATTAGCAAACTCACTAGGTCACCGCATAGACTTCTGTACATTAAACGTTATTTCTTTATCGTTCAATCTCTTCTTTAGCTCCCCAGGTTCAGAATAAATCAAAGCTCTCTCTCTCTCTCTCTCTCTCTCTCTCTCTCTCTCTCTCTCTCTCTCTCTCTCTCTCTCTCTCTCTCTCTGTCCAAGAATAGCCTTCCCAAAATTATGGGAATCGCTTCATCAACTTGGCAGTCTAGAATGACAAAATCTACCGGAAACACAAACTTTCCAACCTGCACAAGTACATCATCAAGTATATTTGATGGCCTCTTCACCGTTTGGTCGGCTAGTTGTAGTAACATGGATGCGGGTCTTGCCATTCCAATGCCTATCCTTTTATAGATAGCCAAGGGACATAAAGTTTATGCTCGCCCCCAAATCATACAATGTTTTGGCAAAAGCATAGCTGCTTATGGTGTGCGGAATTGTGAAACTCCTTGGGTCAGATAGCTTCTCAGCTATAGGTCTTGTCATGACAGCACTGAAGGTCTGAGTCAGTGTCACAATTGCCAAGTCTTGAAAGTCAAACTTGCAAGACATCAAGTCCTTCATCATTTTTTCATAACCGGGCATCTCCCTCAAGAAATCAATCAGTGGAATGTTCACCTGAATCTTTTGCAACATCTTCATGAATTTCTTATACTGCTCATCCTTCTGATAATTGGATAACCTATGCGGGAAGGGTGTTGGCGGTCTCTTCTTTTCTGTGACTTGAGTTAGATCGTGTTCAAGCACTTTGTCTAATGCATTCTCTTGCAGTTTCTCAGTATCCTTTGCAACCTCTTTCTCTTTGCTTAGTTACTCCTGAGTTGGCTACACTCTTACTTCTATTAGCTCAGTTGACCCATCCACCTTAATTGGCACTGGCACGAGTATCTCAATAGGTCGGCTCTCGCGAGCGATTTCTTGCTCTAAATCAAGATCTCTATCATTTCTCAGACTCACAACCATCAGCTGCTTCGGGCCCTGCTCTTTCGGGTTAACATGTGTGTCTGCAGGTAACGTCCCTTGAGGTAGATTGTTAAGGGCCATGGATATTTGCCCTAGTTGAATCTCAATGCCCTTGATAGCTGAGTCGTATGATACTACCTTTTCTTGTATCTGGGGGACCTTTTCTTCCATTTTTCCGCTGGACCCAATGAGTTGTTGTAGCATTCCTTTAATTTCAAACAACCCATCATCTTGTCGCACTATCTGTTGCTATTGAGGTTGTTGATAAGCTAATTGTTGATTCTGCTGATTATACCTTTGTTGCCTTTGATAAGGCACAACCTGACCTTGTGGTCGTGCAGCTCCAGGATTATTAGTTGTACTGCTGCTACGCTGGCCTCTATTGTTGATTTTGTTGTCCCCAAGTCTGACCACCTTTTCTCTGGCCTCCATAGTTGCCCACATAGTTTATATTCTCTTAATAGTTCTAATTGTCACTCTCACCAATCCGCATGCACATATATAGCTGATTAATGCATGGCGTGCATAATCCTCCATTTGTCGTGTCAACTATGTGCACCTGCTTTTGGCCTTACTCATCAATCTTTTTGGTTAGGATACTCAATTGCGTCATCATAGTAGCCATATTCATAGCCATGGAGTTGTTTGGGTCTAGAGCCACAGAGTGAACGACATGAGTGATTGTAGAGTCTCTTGTCATCCATCCTTAGTTTTGAGCCATTTTATTAAGTAAGACCTTACATTCTCTGACTGATTTGCTAAAAAATGCTCCACTTGCTGAAGCATCAATATTGGCGTTCAAGATGTCTGTCAATCCCATGTATAACCTTTGCCCCAACACTGATCAGGAATGCCATGGTGTGGACACTTGACCAACATCCCATTGAACCTCTCCCACGTTTCTTGCAGTGTTTCAGTTGGTTTCTGCCTGAAGCTCAATATCTCATCAACTTGCTTGGAAGTCTTATTGGGTGGGTAGAATTTGTTCAAAGACTGCTTGACTATTTCCTCCCAAGTAGTGATGGAGTTTATGCGGAGCGATTTGAGCCAAGTCTAAGCCTCTTGTTAGCTCGATTTAGTGCCTTGAAAACTTTCTCAGGGTCCGGTAATGTTTCGTACAATTCAATAGTTCTTGAGGAGTTTCTAGTCATGCACATGTAACACACAAGACTACAAACATTAGAGTTTCAATATAATGAATTTCAAGTCGAGAAAGCTGACTAAATTAAGAATTCTAACAATATTTTTAGCCGTAATTAATAACACCGTTAATTTTCCGGTAACGGTACCAAAATTTGATCATGCCCAACTATGCCTCCCAAGAGATATAGCGGCCATTGCATATATAATCCGATTTACAAGTCCGGAATCGAATCCCACAGGTAATTAACCTACTAATTACAACCACTAGTTTCGCATGAATTCAAGTAATCAACCTTCAGAAATATTAAATAACGATTTGAATGTTTACTAACTAAGATCAAGGTAATTAAAATGCAGTAATTTATAACTAGCAGAGCAAACATTGTGGACAAGATTTGGAAAAGTCTAGGGTTATGATTTTCCCTATTGTCGGAATCCTCCCCGTTATATTTTTTTAAATTTGCCTAAGTGTCCTCTACCGATCGTGAGTACTTTGGGTGTCGTAATTCTCTTTCAAGTAACTACCACAATTTACTAGATGTATTCTTCCGAACCACGGCAGCTGATACTAATTTACCGCTCACTATGATCGCGTAAAGGTTTAGCTATTCCTAATCCCAATTTTAAACCTTTCGTATTGATTCCTCATATACGTTACGGGTGATGTTGTTCAACAACTACCTAAATGTATACCCTTTTCCAAGCAATACAAACTAAATAGGCACAAGTAATTAAGAGCTCTGCAATCAACAACAATGAAAACGCAGTTGAACAAGTAGAGAAAAATCTAAGGCTAATTTCTATTAAACGTAATAGAAAATCATCCTCCAATAGGTTCCATCAAACTCTATATTAGAGAGTTTAGCTACTCATAAATGTACCAACAATCATCATGATGTTCAAAGACATTAAACTACAAAGTAAAAAAGATAAACGGAGGAAAAACTCGTTTGATTCTTGCTCCACGATACTCTATAGCCTTTTTCTTCTCCAAAATAGTGTCCAACCCTTTCTCTACTCTTTTGGGGAGTATTTATATGTTAGGGTCGAAATACTTGAGTCAAAATCCGGGTAAGAGTCTTTTAACCCCGCAACTTTTAATCACCGTGCTATAGACCTTGCGAGGCCATGATTATAGCGCAGTCAGCCTGACTACAGTGTAGGCTACGTCTGGCCTATAGCGCGGTCAAGCTGGCTATAGAGCTAGCTTTACTTAGTCTGTAGCACGGTAAGGCAGGCTATAAAGCTGGCTTTACTTGGTCTGTAGCACTATTTGGGTACTTGATGATTTTGTGCTCTTTTTTTTTGCATTTTTGTCCTCTTTTAGTGCAACTTTCATTCGACTCTTTCTCTTAATGCCCCTTCACATAAAACAACACAATTTAGCTCAAATATCACACAATTAATCACTAAACCAACAAAATGTAGGCGAGTAATATACTAAAATTATAGCATTTTGGTCAAACATCAGCAGCTTATTACACGAAGCATTCCTTATTCACATATGGTCCGGGGACAAGATACACCTAAGGGTGTGTGTGATGGAAGCAACCTACCCTAATACAGGTATCAGTGGTTGCTTACACGGCTCGAACTCGTAACTTATAAGTCACACGAAGACATAATTATGTTGCTCCAAGACTCCCCTTCTCTTATTTAATTTCTTTTTTGTTATAAGAAAATTGAATTATTGTGGATGTCTACTCTTCTCCATTATCTCCATAACTCCCAATACTCTAATAATTATGGAGTTATGATTGTAACTCTATAACCTCCTCCATGATATTACTCTCAAATGCTTAATGACATGTTCAATGACATATTTTGCAATAGTAATTCTTCAATTTTCATGCCTATATAAAGACCTTGTAATAGATAGGAAAATACACACAATTGAAAAAGAAAATCTCTTCTCTCTTTCTCTATATATCTCTTAGCTTGTTTTTCCTTATTTTATATTGTTACTTTGAGGTATATTTTTATAACATTTTTGATATTTTTAGTTTTTTATTTATGCATTTTCCTACCAAATTTGCTCCCTATTTACATTATTATCATAAGCCTCAGTGTGGATGCTGGTATAATTTTTTTAATTTAAACTAGAAGAAACTGTATCTGATCATTATAAATTAGAAGAATGATATAACTATGTTTTATTTGTCTACTTTTTCTAATAATCTCAAGGATTGCAGAGAAATCCTCGTCAAAGGGAAGAAATAGACCATTTTATTGTCAGAACTCCAATGGGCCGGGCTGGAAAGCCCGAAGAGATATCTGCACTAATAACTTTCCTTTGCTTCCCTGCTGCTTCTTACATTACGGGCCAGATCATATGGGCTGATTGTGGATTCACTGCTAATGGTGGGTTTTAATTGGACATTGTAATCTTTTGAACAATAATTTAAATGGATATTTTAAATATTACCAAGATGAGAGACAGGTCCTATTTATTAATAATATGACTTTTTGGGACTTCGTAATATTATTTAAAAAAATAACACTATATAGCCGTTCTCAAAATAATAACCGAAAATATATATATATATATATATATATATATATATGATTTTTGGATCAGCCTGCTCCAATCTTTTTGCGTGGAAGTTACACCAGGTACCCATTTTTAACCCCGCCGTTTAAAATATATCCAAAGTTTACGAGTTATTTAAAGATTAGCCAATTTGCTAAAACTTTAAGGATACGACGCCTAAAAGTTAAAATCTCAAAATTCAAACTACATGATATTGTGTCCTAAAGTTCGAAAATCGTGTCCAGAAGCTCTCTTATGTCCTAAATTTCAAATTAGCACTTGTAAAATTCAGGATACTAGATCATGATTTTCAAATTTAGGATACTTAATCCTGAAATTTAGGTAAATTGAATAATCTTTAAGATATATTATAAATTGTGAATATATTTTAAAGAGTTGGTTTAAAATTGGCTGTTGGTGCACATCTCCCTCTTTTTGCTATCATCGCCCCAATAAAAGCTGGAGTATAACATGTGCTTCCTTTTTTTAAAATCTCTTATTCCCGATTTATGTAATTTATTTTCTTTTTCAGTTTGTCAAAAAATATATATTATATATATACATTTTTTATCTTTAATGAAATAATTATAACTAAATAAATATCTATTGACTTATTTTGAAACACTAGTTTCGAAAGATTTTCTTTCCTTTTTAGATTTTGTGCTCAATCAATTAATACTACATAAATTAGTATTAATTTAATGTGTCCTAAAGTCAAAATTTAATGCGTGACCTAATATTTAAAAAATAATTGTAATATATATTTTTATTTAAAATCTATTTTTCTAGCTTTTTGAGATATAAAGTTGATAAACATTTTTATAATCAATTTCTTCAAATAATTCCCTTTAAGTTGATAACCGCCAACATTATTCTATAAGTATATCAATTAAATTATTATCTTCTACTTGTAATATTTCACTTAACAATTATAAAATCCTATAAACCTATTAATTTTAAAGAATGGGCCCCCCTAAATTTGGGGGCTAATACATAAGCCTTACTAGCTACTCCATAACATAAGAGCCTGCCGTGGACTGAGGGAATATTTTATGAGGATTTTTACCAAGCTATACAATAATAGAAATATATTTATCACTTTTATTTAGGTTCCTTATTAATTACTTGGTATATTTATATTTACAAGTTATATACAAAATCATAAAAAAGAAGAAAATTCAAGATCTCTTAAATTTTGTCTATCAATTACATGACACTCACGCCCCCTCATTTCCAATAACGCCTACATTTAATATTCTGTTCCTTTTCCAAAGGAATTCAAAAATATTCTGTCATAATTTTTTTTATACATATTCTGCAAAAATTGTCGATTCTTTTTCTATTCCAAAACTTTTCAAACCCAATTTCTCTTTCTTACTAATCATCTAAAATCTCTCTTTTTTATTGACACATTGCAGACGAAATACGGAATATTACTCTAGAACTAAGTTACTGGTAAGTTTGAATCTTGTTTTCTTCCTTTCTAAAATATTTATTGTATGTGACTTGTATATCATACATCAATACCCAAAATAATACTTGATATAATACAAATACAATTGAATGATTTAAGGAATTTTGATGTAAAAAAAAAGAGAGAGAAGAGGAGAGGATAAAAAAAGAAAGGATGTAATTGAATCCCTTAATTGTAGGGACTAATAATGGGTTGGGAGCAATCGACATAACTTGTAAGAAAAACCTAGATACTTATTAAAAATTACAAAACATAGAGAACATAAGTAAATAAATTTCTAATATAGTATAGCTAGGTAAAGATTAATATTTTATAAGGACATATCATTAATATTACTTTAATGAAACTTACTCTTTTAAAAGTACAACTTTTACAGCTTTGTGAGTGGTAAAAATACAACTTTTACAGTTTGGTGAAATTCTTACTCGTTTTAAAAGCGGTGGCTTGGAATATAGCTCTTTTCTTTTAAGTCAATATCACACTTGTTCTCCTTTGTACTAAGTAGGATTTGAAAAGCTGGACAAAGTAATATTATTTTCATTTCTTGTCAAATATTTTCGATTCAATTGAAAATACGACCGTAATTAAACGCATCAAAAACATGAAGAGATTAAACATAAATGTTTTCAGGAAATACCAATATAGAAACGACATGGGAGCACGTGCACCCGGTCATCCTAAGGCAGGCTACATAGAAATGACATCAAATAGTTACTCTGAAAAGCTGTAATTTAAGAACTAGCCAATGTGTTTTGAATTTTAGTTTTTCGATTACTTTTTAGAACAAAAATGACATGAGTTGTCCTAAAATTAAGATGTTTAATTTATAATTTCAAGATAAAAATAAGTATTGGATAATCTCTAAATGACATCTTTGAGAATGACTATTTGTGTACTTGGTTGCTCTTTAAGACCAAGCAGATTTGTTAACAAAAAAGATTATGAGTTCTCAGGATTTTCGTCTCATTTTCGAGTTAGTGTGTTGAATCTCTTTCTGTGGCTATAGTTAGTACAAGGAATATTAATTCAGTGGCAAGATATATAGAGGAATATATAGAGGACAATCAACAAGATTTTATAGTTGTCCTATATATATATTCCTCTTAACTATAAAAATCTTGTTGATTGTCCTCTATATATTCCTCTATCTTTCCCACGCTCTAGATTGAAGGGAGATTTTGAGCAGTATATCCAAGTTATATATAGGCTAGCTTGGGAAAGTTGAACAGTCACTTGCAGAATTAGGACCCAGAAGGCAGGTGATAAATACATGGCAAAATTAATAATTACTACTAGTAATTAAGTTGGTTAAATAGATATTTGGAAGTAGCTTGTGTTCTTTATGAAAACCCTAACTCCCCCCTATAAAGGGGGGAAAGGGACACTATACACACATTTCTCTGGTTCTTATACTATGTCACATACTCAATATACACGCTAACATTAAATAAAAAACGAGTTTATATATCCTTTAATTCCGATATATATGAATAAAACACAGCATAAACCAAATATAATGGAAAATAAGAAAAGGAATAGAATTCATATGCATAATTATAAGGAAACTTACTAGCTAACATATAGATTTCATTATATATTTTATAGCTGTGATTTTGTCCTAAATCCAAATGGTTGTTATAACTGCAAAGGGATCCATGAACTATATATGGAACAGTCTTAAATCCAAAAGAGAATATAAACTAGTGAAGACATATAAAGGAAACCATGAATGGAAAACTTCCCTGCAATTTGACCTAAAAACTATCGAGACGGATAATATATATATTCTTCAAACAAATACACATCAAATTAGTAAACATGATTAATAAAAATTCTATGGTAGCAAAGAAAAGGTACTGATATATATAATCAAGATACAACGACTTAAAAACACACTTGGATTAACAGCTTAAAAGAGTTTTATTTGCAAAGCAACTTATTGTAAAACAGAAGACAAGATAAATTAAAAACAATAATTACAGTATTCGAAAAAAAAAAGTGATACCAACTTCGAACAAGAAAATACCTATTTGTTTTCTTGATTTACAAGGAGCTATATATATAGCTAGCTGTGAATGAGAATATCTTCCTTTGTGCTGCTAGAAAATGTGTGTGAGGAATGAAGCCTGGTCCGAGATCACTCCAAAATGTCTCACTGAATTAGATTACTACTTTTAGCTAAAAAGCAAAAACACTCCGAAAATACACACACAAATTTAAAAAATAAAAAAGAGAGAGAGGAGAAAAAGTAAAAGATTGATTAAGATTTAGACTAAAAGAATCAAAAACCCCAAAAAATCAAAGGGTAAAGAAGAAGAAGAAGAAGAAGAAGAAGAAGAAGAAGAAGAAGAAGAAGAAGAAGAAGAAGAAGAAGAAGAAGAAGAAGAAGAAGAAGAAGAAGAAGAAGAAGAAGAAGAAGAAGAAGAAGAGACAAAAAGGAAATAGAAGGATCTTGGATCAGTCTTCATTCCAAACACTTCATTTTTCTTTGAATGATGATAATCTCATAATTTCAATTCTCTCTGCCTTTCTCATGATTTAGCAATGAAGAGCAAGCTATATATGCATATAAAGCTGCAGAGACTCGAATTCTCAATCAATTAAAGCTATGTACTCGTGGCGACACAAACGACAACATTATGTACTCTCTTCCTTTATTTTTTAGTGGTCCATTTTTACTAAGGAGGGAATAGTACTTTCAAAAAGAGAATAAATGAGCTTGTGAATAATTTTGAAATTCTAAAGAAAATGTTTCCAAAGAGAGTTCTGAAAGCATTTCAAAAAGAAAATGTTTTTTTCTAAAAACCAAAACCCTATTAGAGTACGTCATTTAATTCCACGCGATGTCCGGATGCACCTCAAATTCTTATTCCGATAACTTTATTCAGAAAAGTTTGGACAAATGAAAAGTTAACTTGTATATAATCTTCGTATTTTTGTACTCCTATGTATCAAATTTCAAGATTAAAACCCTAATTTTGTAACTAATAATTCCAAAAAATTTCATTCCCTTTCTACGAATATATTTCTGATAAGTTCTAGTTTCTAGGTGTGTGACAGTATGAAGTTGTACTTTTTCTCTTTTTTGTATTTTACAAATCTATTTATGGGTTTAAGTTAGACAGAAATGGTGCATGTGGAAGAGCACATGAAAGACAGGTCATGGAGATTTCTTTTGATAAAATAAAGAAAAGCTGATGAATTTTGGAGTCATTGAATTGTCTTGTTCTGTGACTTTTGGTTGAAGGGATAATTCAGATAGAGACAGTGCCTATTACAGCTATAACTTTTCTTTTGCAGTGCGCTGCCTCTGCTTATGGGAAAAGAATAAGAAATTTATGCACTGAAAACAAAGCAAAAAAAGAGGACAATGGGGAAATATGACGTAGGACATGGTCCTCCTATTAAATTGTGAAATTAATTTTACTCTATTGATGAGTGACTTTAACAGCTTGTTGTTTCGTAATATAA